TCTTTCCCTCAGGGGCTCAGGGCAGGAGGCCTGGGTACTTACTCCACCTTTTTGCTGTTTCTCCCTCTGACCCTGTTCCTGGGTCTGACAACAACCTTCTTCATTTGCACAATGAATTCACTGAGTCTTTCTTTCCAAAGTGCTTTCAGCTCTATCGGCTTTGATGAGCTGGGTGGGGTGGGGAGCCCTGAACCCGTTTGGCAGATGGGATGACCGGGGCCCTGATTGGGGCAGGGATTTGTGTGCATCCCTGTGATGGCCAAGGGACATTGGCCTGCAAGGAGCCCTGTGTCTCGGGCAGACCGCCTAGCTGCGTGGACAGCTGTTGCTCTCCCATTGCATTGGTGCCCTCTGCGGTCCCAGTCCCCTTCTTCTCAGAAATGGAGCCTCAGAGAGGCAGTCAGCCAGTTCTCTGGAGGACGGAGGAAAGGCCTGTTTCACCACACACCTGTGCTACCCTGCCTAGCCCTGAGGGAAGCAAGGGGTTTTTTTTTGCCATTCTAGGCACCAGCCTTTCTGCCCACGGCTATTATATACTGGGAGCTCAGCCAGCACAGGGCCCCCCCAGCTCACAAGCCAGAGGCCGATGTGTATCAGAGGACAGTGAGGCAATATATGACTTTGGCAGCTGAAATAAAGCCACGGGGCAGATCCCAAGCGAGGATTCATTCCTTCAACCGCTATTCACTGTGCCAGGCCCTGGCCAGTCTGATGTCCCTGAAACAAAGGTAACGTCCCTGCTCTCGAGGCCCTGGGAGGCAGAAGGAAACTTTGTGACGGGGCTTGTGACAGTCCAGAAGTGTGTCATGTAAGACTCCGGAAGGGGGTCATTGATTCCACAAGGAAGTCAGGGCTGGCATCCCAGAGGCAGCGTTCCCTCAGCTGGGCCTTGAGAGATGAAAACGAGTTTGCTGGGCTGGAGTGGGGGAGGAGCATCCTAGGCAGAGGTACCGGAGAGTGTGGAAGGCATGGACATGGGATATTCAGGGAACAGTGGAGACTTCTGGCAGGGGGTGGGGCGAGGGAGTCCCTCAGGTATGAGGGAGGGGAAGGGAAGGGATGGGGGTGGAGCAGTGAGTTGGGGACAAAAGGCGAAAGGCCTTTAGTGATGAGGCCTCAACAGGGGATTAGAGAGAGAAGGAGGGATACAAGAAAGGAAAGGTCAGCCGCCTCTGCAGAGGCCATTAACTTAGCAGAGGGAACTTCCATATACACGCAGTAGGAACTTGCTCAAGTTCGCTGTCCTAGACCAAGGTCAAGGCTAGAGTACAGACTGACATATACTAAATGTAGTTGTAGTCCTGGGAGCATTTTGTGCAGACCACAAGGCCTAGCTCTGCCCTTTGAGTGAGACCGGTAGGGGCAGGACCCCAGTACTTTCTGGGTCCCTACTCCTTCTCTACCTTTAGATACTATTGTCTGTTGTACCCAAAAGCTCCCTAGACCTGCCAAACTCACCCTCACAGGCCAGGCTACAGTCCCAGGAAACGCATTGGTACTGGCCCAGGGTTATCTGGTGCAAGCTTGGGCTAAGCAGTGGAGAATGGGCCCAGAAAGAGGACACTCTCCCTCATACGATGTCCTTATGATAGCACAACCTAGAATTCCTCTTCCCATCCTCTTTCCCAGTAGACCCAGCCCAACTTTTCCATCAGATCAGCGTGCAGCTGGCTTTTAATGTTGGAAACAAATACTTGGGCTGATGGGCTGCACTTGCCCATCCCTCTCCTGATGCCTAGTCCCCCAGCTACTGCTGTAGCCCCAACTAACACTGCTCCAGCAACAGGCCCAGGTTTCCTCAGAAGCAGCCAGTTTCCAACAGCAAACACTTGGAGAGGGCTGTATGTGAGGGCACTGAGACAGGCTTGCTGGAGGGACAGAAATACTTGAAGGCCAGTCTTTACCCTCAAGTTGCTCCCCTTTTTATGAGGAAGAGGCCTCCTGGTTTGTAAATTGATTCAAATCTTTAAAAAGATTGTCAGAATGGATTAAAAAATGATTCAACTATATGCTGTCTACAAGAAACTCACTTGAGAGCCAAAAACACAAATAGGTTGAAAGTGAAAGGGTGGGAACAGATATTCATGCAAACAGTAACCAAAGACAGTGGGGTGGATATACTAATATCAGACGAAACGGATTTTAAGTCAAAAGTCATTTAAGAGACAAAGAAGGATGTTAAATATTCATAAAAGGATAACTATCAAGAAGATGTAATCGTTATAAATATATACACTCCAACAACAAAGTCCTAAAAATATGAAACAAAAATGGACAAATTGGAAGGAGAAATAAACACTTCTACAGTAACAGCTGGAAATTTCAACATCCCACTTTGGATAAAGGGTAGAACAACTAGACAGATCAACAAAGAAATAGGACTTGAACACACTACAAACTGACTAAGTCAAACAGCCATACACAGAACACTCTTATCTAAAAACAGAATACACCTCAAGTGCACATGGAACATTCTCCAAGATAGATCATATATTAGGCCACAAAACAACATTGCAATACATTTTAAAAGATTGATATCATACAAAGTATCTTTCGATCACAATGGAATGAAACTAGAAACCACTAACAGAAGAAAAATTGGATACCACAAATATATGGAAATAAAACAACACACTCTTAAACAACTAATGAGTTAAAAAGAAATCAAAAGAGAAATTAGATGGCAGTAACTATATGCCTAGCAACAATTACTTTCAATGTAAATGGATTAAATGCTCCAATCAAAAGATAGGGTGGCTTAGTGGATAAGAAAACAAGACCCTTACTTATGCTGCCGACAAGAGACTCACTTCAGGTCAAAAGACACACGCAGACGGATGGCAGTAACTATATACCTAGCAACAATTACTTTCAATGTAAATGGATTGAATGCTCCAATCAAAAGATAGGGTGGCTTAGTGGATAAGAAAACAAGACCCTTACTTATGCTGCCGACAAGAGACTCACTTCAGGTCAAAAGACACACGCAGACTGAAAGTAAAGGGATGAAAAAAGATGTTTCATGAAAATGGAAACAAACAAACAAAAAGCTGGGGTAGCAATACTTATACCAGAAAAAATGGACTTTAAAACAAAAAAGACAAAGAAAGACCCAGTTATCCCACTTCTGGGTATTTATCTGAAGAAACTCAAAACACTACTTTGAAGCGAAGGGACAATCCATACGTTCATTGCAGCATTATTTCTAGTAGCCAAGATATGGAGGGATCCTGGGTGTCCACCAATGGACAAATGAATAAAGAATATTCCATTCTATACAATGGAATATTACTCCGCCATAAAAAAGGATGAAATCTTGCCACCTGCAAATATATGAATGGACCTAGAGGATATTGTGCTGAGTAGAATAAGTCTGACAGAGAAAAACAAATATCACGTGTGGAATCTAGAGAGCAGGATAAAGAAACAACAGAAACAAGATCATAGATACAGAGCGTTTTGATGGTTGTCAAAACGTTTTGATGGTTGTCAGATTGCGGGGTGGGAAGCTGGGTGGTTTTGATGAAGCTGGGTGAAGGGGGGAGGGGATTAAGAGGTACAAATTGATAGCTACAAAATAGTCATGGGGGTGTAGAGTATAGCATGGGATATACAGTCAGTAGTATTGTAATAACTACGTAGGGTGACAGATGGGTACTGAATTTATCAGGGTGATCACTTCGTAAGTTAGATAAATGTCTAATCACTGTGTTGTACATCTGAAACTAATACAATAATGTATGTCAACTAGAATTGAAAAAATAAAAATATAAAATTTAAAAAAATAAAAAAGAAATTAGAAAATTATTTGAGACAGATGAAAATGAAAATACAACATATTAAATTTTATGGGATTCAGCAAGAACAGTGCTGAGAGGAAATTTATAGCTATAAACACCTACATTAAAAAGGAAGAAGGATTTCCAATCAATAACATAACTTTATACCTTAAGGAACCAAAACAAGAGCAAAGTAAACCCAAAGGTAGCGGAAGGGAGGAGATGATAAAGATTAAAGTGGAGATAAACATATGCAGGATAGAAAAACAATAGAGAAAATCAATGAAACCAAAAGTTGGTTCTTTGAAACAATCAACAAAATTGACATACCTTTGACTAGACTAAGAAAAAAAGAGGGAAGACTTTGAAATTACTAAAATCAGAAATGAAAGAAAAGAATTTAAATTACTAAAATCAGTCTATGGGCATGCCACCCTGAACAAGCCCAATCCTGTCTGATCTCGGAAGCTAAGCAGGGTCGGGCCTAGATGGGAGACCGCCTAGGAAGACCAGGTGCTGTAGGTGTAAAAAATAAAAGATAAGGGATTATAAGATGACAAGGTCCTTGCAATCTGTGAGGTCAACCAAGGGTTGCCTCGGCTAAAAAAAGAAAAAAAAAGGAATTTAAGTAGATGGTCTTCAAGTGATCATTTTCTTTTAACTATTTAAAAAAATTTTGGTGAATTTTGTTTTTATTTTTATAATATATGTACTATTAACTATTATGAACTGGCTTTATTCACAAAAAAGATTAGCTGGGCTTAAATAAATATTAAAAATCACCAACAAAGAAAATTCCAGAACCAGACGACTTAACAGGCTAATTCTACCAATCATTTAAAGAAGAATTAACATCAATTCGTCTTAAACTCTTCCAAATTATACAAGAGGCAGGGACACTTCCTAACTCATTCTATGTAACCAGTATTAATAACCTTGGTGCCAAATCCAGATAAAGACATTACAAAAAAAGAAGCTACAGACCAATATCTCTTATGACTATAGCGGCAAAAATCTTCAACAAAATACTAGCAAACTGAATCCACCAGCATAATAAAAAGATTATACCCCATGTCCAAGTGGGATTTACTCTAGAATGCAAGGTGGTTCAACAACATGCAAATCCATCAATGTAATACACCACATTAATAGAATAAAGGTGGGAAACGACATGGTCAGAAAACACATCTGACAAAATCCAACACCTTTTCAAGATAAAAACACTCAAGAAACAAGGAGTAGGTGGGAACTTCCTTAACCTGATAAAGGGCATTTATGAAAAATCCCCATGCCTAATGTCATGCTCAATGGCGAAAGACTTAAAGCATTTCCTGCTGCCTTTTCATCTACTCAGCTTTGTCCTGGAAGGTCGAGCCAGAGAGATTTGGCAAGAAAGAGAAATAAAAAGGTATCCAAATTGGAAACGAAGAAATGAAACTATCCAGATTCACAGATGATATATTATATACATATACAGAACACACACACACACACACACACACACACCATAAGAGCTAATAAATGAATTCACAATGAAGTCGTGAGATTCAAGGTCAACACACAAAGTTCAGTTGTACTTCTACACATACAGTTCTGAAACCAATTCTGTTGTGTGGGGTTTTTTCTCCTTACCAAACAATACTCTGGTATTAGCTGAGTGCCCTGCAGTGTAACGCAATTCTGACACCAGCTACCTGGAGGTAGCATCCGATTCCTTAAGTTAAGGACTCAGTTCTACAGGACTGTCTCCACTCCAGATGTCAGTCGCTAGTCCTTGTTACCTGTGCTTCTGACCGACTGGCTATTAATCATATTTTAACAGCCCCCTTCTGTATAGTCGGCTGGTGTTAGAATATTCAAGACCTTCTGCGTGTGTGTGTGTGTGTGTGTGTGTGTGTGTGTGTGTGTGTGTGTGTGTGTTGGGGAAGGAGGTGTGTGAATACGAGGTTTCCCCTCTAGGGGAATCAATGGGCTGGATAGAGTAATAATTTAAATGATGAAGCACCACAACCTTTAAGTTCCACTACAGGGAAGGCGGCGCTTCTGGGGGGAAGGGGGGCGTTTCTTTGCTTTATATATTGGCTCCTAATTTGGCATTGGCCAGAATTCCGGTTCTGGTCTTCTAGGTGTCACCGAACCATGGGCCCTCTTTCTGGGTAGAAAGAAAAGAACACTGCTGGACCCTGCACAGGTTCAGATTCCCAGAGTATGAAGAGCCTGACAAGGAAAGATGTGCGTCGTGAACAAAGAGGTATGGGCTGTGTTGAATTGTGCCCCCAATCTGGTAGTCCAACTTGGTGCTTCAGACCCCCGGGGTGGGGATGGGGAAAATTAAGAAACATCTCCCGTGTAAAACGACCGACGAGGATGGGATTCGAACCCACGCGTGCAAAGCACAATGGATTAGCAGTCCATCGCCTTAACCACTCGGCCACCTCGTCCCACACGAGTGCTCATTTTCCACATTCTCTTATCTCTCATCTTCTCCGCACTTTGTGAATCCCCTACTTTCATTTTTTTGGCGCAGATCTAATAGGACTTAAAGGAGAGAAAGACAGAAGAAAGAAAAGGGTTTTTTGTGTTCCTTTCTTCCCGCCGCAGCCAGGAATCCGCACCATCTTTCGCCAAGCTGCAGCGGAGCTCTGCCAAGGTTTCCCGTCCCTGAGTAGGGGGCGAGCGCGCCGGGGTTTCAGGACGCGCTTGGTCCAGGGGGTCGCGCACTGACCGGGAGGGAGTGGACACGTGTCTCTGGGAAGCCCGCGGCGCCGCCACGGGCGGATCCAGCATTTGCAAAGCGCGCCGCGCGGGGGACTAGTGCAGTAGATCCTCCTCGCGCACAGGGGGCGAGCTGGGGCACCCGGAGGCCCCCGCGGGTGGGCGGGGCTGCTCAAGGAGCTCGGCTCGCCTCGGCTCGCTTCGGCTGCGCTCGGCAGGCTGCGGTAAATCCGGGCTTGCGGTGGCTGGCAGAGGCTGCGGCCGGGTGGTCCCTGCTGCGCGCTTCGAGCCCCGAGAGCCATGCAGATGTCCTATGCTATCCGATGCGCTTTCTACCAGCTGCTGCTGGCCGCGCTAATGCTGGTGGCGATGCTGCAGCTACTCTACCTGTCGCTGCTATCCGGGATGCACGGACAGGAGGAGCAAGACCAGTATTTCGAATTCTTTCCTCCGTCTCCGCGGTCCGTGGACCAGGTCAAAGCCCAGCTCCGGACCGCGCTGGCCTCCGGAGGCGTCTTGGACGCCAGCGGCGACTACCGCGTCTATAGGGGCCTACTCAAGACCACTATGGACCCCAATGATGTGATCCTGGCCACCCATGCCAGCGTGGACAACCTGCTGCATCTGTCGGGCCTTTTGGAGCGCTGGGAGGGCCCGCTCTCCGTGTCGGTGTTCGCGGCCACCAAGGAGGAGGCGCAGCTGGCCACGGTGCTGACCTACGCGCTGAGCAGCCACTGCCCCGATATGCGTGCCAGGGTCGCCATGCACCTTGTGTGCCCCTCGCGCTATGAGGCCGCAGTGCCCGACCCCCGAGAGCCGGGGGAATTTGCCCTGCTGCGGTCCTGCCAGGAGGTCTTTGATAAGCTAGCCAGGGTGGCCCAGCCCGGGATCAATTACGCGCTGGGCACCAATGTCTCCTACCCCAATAACCTGCTGAGGAATCTGGCTCGTGAGGGGGCCAACTATGCCCTGGTCATCGATGTGGACATGGTTCCCAGCGAGGGGCTGTGGAGAGGCTTGAGAGAAATGTTGGATCAGAGCAAGCAGTGGGCGGGCACAGCGCTGGTGGTGCCTGCCTTTGAGATCCGCCGAGCCCGCCGCATGCCTGCAAACAAGAATGAGCTGCTGCAACTCTACCAGGTGGGCGAGGTGCGGCCCTTCTATTATGGGCTGTGCACGCCCTGCCAGGCACCCACCAACTATTCCCGCTGGGTCAACCTGCCAGAAGAGACCCTGCTGAGGCCTGCCTACGTGGTACCCTGGCAGGACCCCTGGGAGCCGTTCTACGTTGCCGGAGGCAAGGTGCCCACTTTCGACGAACGATTTCGGCAATACGGCTTCAATCGCATCAGCCAGGTGCTCAGAAGGGAGAGGGCAGGGGAAATGGGGCAGGAGAGGTGGTGGGGTCAGGAAGCTATGAGTGGAAAGGGGACAAGGAAAGGGGACAAGGGATCATAGTTCGGGAGGTGGTTGGATGGAAAGGGGGCAATGAAGCAGGAGGGATCATAGTTCAGGAGGTGATTGGAGGATTCAGTGTGCCTTCAGAGGAGTGGGGATGCTGGAGTCAGCTTCAGGGTTGTCGGTCTAGGCCCTAGGAAAATAATCAAACTTTATTGACCTGTCTCTCCCCCTACAGGCCTGTGAACTGCACGTGGCAGGATTCGATTTCGAGGTGCTGAATGAAGGTTTCTTGGTCCATAAGGGCTTCAAGGAAGCCTTGAAGTTCCATCCCCAAAAAGAGGCAGAAAATCAGCACAATAAGATCCTTTACCGCCAGTTCAAACAGGAGTTGAAGGCCAAGTACCCCGACTCCTCCCGTCATTGCTGAGACCTTCCCTGCCCTAGTCTGAGAAGTCTCAGCCTCCTCTCTCCTTAGGCCGCCCCTCAGGCCTGACGGGGGTAAGAAATGTCACTCCACTTTACAGTGGTAGCTGTGGTGTTGGAACACTGGACTTGAATATGGGGTGCTGGGATCAAGTCCTAGCTTTACCACTAACTAGCTGTGTGGCCTTGAGCAAATCCCGTTCCCTCTCTGAGCTTCAGTTACCCTGTCTGTAAAAAAGGGAGGTGAGAATACCTACCTCACAGAACTGTTGGGAGGCTCAGATAAGATGCTATATGTGAAAACATTCTGTAAGCTTCGTACAAATGTGAAGTATTATTAATATTATTACAGTATTATTATTGTTGTTATTATTGTTATTATTAACAATTTTGAGTGGGCAGGCAGTAGGAGAGCAAAAAGTATGAATGAGGCAAAACTGAGAAGTCTAAGTACTTAACAAAATGGGCTTTTTGGAAAGAAAGTGGATAAAGATGTTGAATTTAGTTTATAGCTTTTGAGCAGAAGCCTAAACTTCCTGGTTCTCCCAGGCCTCCGCCTTCGGGAGCTCTGGAGAGGGAAGGGTCTGCAGGTTTCGTACCCTCTCGAATAGGCTGGGCTGGGTTGGGTTATTTGCCTACCATTGACAATGTGTAAATAAATAAATGAGTGTTCACACTACAGCTGGCTGAATTACTCTCCTGAACTGGGCAGGCAGAGAGATCGCGGGTTCTCCCCTTTCATGCGGGGGAGTGGGGAGGGATGTGACCGCGGACGGAGGAGCACCGGCTGCAAAGCAAGGAAACCACAAGTGTCGTTCGGGCGAACTGACCACCAGTGTGAATTTCGGCTGGTTACTATGGAGACCGCCCCGCGGTATCCCAGCATGCCTCGCCCGCAGCTGTCCAATCGTGAGCTTCCCAGCGGGCGCCTCTTGATGACGCATGCGGAAGCGCCGGACAGGCCCTGCCGCCCAATACAGCCGGACCTGCGGCGCAGCTCTTCCCCAATCCGGGCGGCGGTGGTCAACATCCGCAGCCGCGGGAACCTGTCAGGGAGTCTCGGACGTGAGGCCGGAGGCTTCACTCGCTGCGGTGCGTAACGACACCCATGGCCTGGCTCGACCTCTCCGGCGAATCTGTTGGAGCCCGTCCAACCTCCAGGGCCGAAGCAGAGACTTAACCGGCCGGACGCGTGCGGGGCCGCGGGCTCCAAACCGGTCGCGGAAGAGCTAGTGATTCCCCTGCCCGCGCCAGCGCATGAGGGAACGGAGCGGGGCGGGAGGCTGCGGGCGCGCCGCGGAGGGGCTGGGTGTGCCTTTTCGAGGGCGGTGGGGAAGACTCTGCCTTCCATGGAGGCCTGCCTTGGAAATGCTCACTTTCTGAGAAGATAAATTGCCTGTGCACAGCGCCTCACAATTTTCTTTTCCATCCCTTACCCCTTGTAATGTTTACAACACTCAGTAGCAATGATCATTCTCTTTTTGCACCGGGGTAAGGCGGGAAGGTGGTTATTTAATTGAGCTCATACAGTAGAAGGAGAGCAGCTGAAGTGACTCCCATCTCCTCTCTCCCGCCCTTTCTGGTCCCGATTAAGTTGCATTTTACAATATAAATATATTTAACAGTGAAGAGGAATTGCAAATTTGGGGAACTGTAGGAACTGAATCTTGAGAATGGTAAAGATGGGACTGGTTTGGAGAACCGCAGATCAGGTTGAGATTATTTGTGAAATTATCGAGGCATGTGACTAAACTGTTTTCTAGTCTACTCATTTTACACAACTCGAATTGATGTCTAAGAAGTTTAACAGAATACTTTGGGTTTGCTAAAAACCAAGAAGTAAAAGCCAAACCTGGGGCTACCAAGAAGTAAAAGCCAAATCCTGCCTTGCAAAGGTTTTGTTTAATTTGTATTTGCGAATTCTCCAGTCATCAGGTGACTCTGTGCTGTGCTAGATGCATAGGGTGCACGTGCAGCCCTTCCCTGGTGAGGTTTAGGGACTGGTAGGGGAGATAGACATGAGAATGGGCAAATAGGAAATGTAAGAAAATAAGGCTTCCTGGAGGGAATGGGATCTACTCTCATCTAAAGGACCACAAAGCCATGCCCAGAGAAGTTGGAAGGACATCACGGTGATATAGAACCCCCACTAAGCAAAGCGATTATCTGTTGAGAGTACTATTTAGCCTTTCTCTTAGGTGATCTCTTAGCAGCATTTGGCACTGTCACCTCTTCTTCTGAAATTCTCTCTCCATATGACAGATTTTCTCTCCTCTACCTCTTGCTAATTTCCTTTTCCTTTGCAGGGGTTTCATCATCCGCCCCTTTGGTGACCCTGGGAGGTTCCATCATGGATGTCTTCTCACTACACATTCTGCCTTGCTGGTTGCACCCTCTCCCAGGGCCTGAAGAACTTGCTATATGCCATTGACCAGATCTCTGCAGCCCAGATTTTTCTCTGAGGCTTAGACCCATGTGGCCCCAACCCTGCCCCTTTCATTTTGGGGTCTTTGCACATGCTACTCAGAATGTTCCCTCCCTCCACCTGCTCAGCTCATCTGTCTGGCCCATTCTCCTCTGCAAGCTCTCATGCTACAGCAACTCCAGGTCCCAGTTAAACACCGCTCCCATTCACTGCCCACTCTCGGCTCATCTCACACCACACTGATGGTCTGCTTCTTTGTCTTTTTCTCCCAGGAAATTGTAAACAACTTGAGGTCGGAGATGGTCTGTCACAGTCATGCCCAGCACTTACCATAGTGTCTGATGGTACCTAGCATACATTGGTTTCATTAAGTATTAGACGAGCGAATAAAAGGGATGCTTAAGTGTTAAGTGTTGCTGAGAAGTCAACCACGATAAATAAGTGCTGAAAAATATTGGCATTAGGGACAAGGCGGTTGTCGGTTACCTCTACAGCACTGGTTTCACCTGAAAGTGATGGTACGGAAATCAGAACAGTGGGAGATGAAAGCAGGAAGAGCACGTGTACACAGACCTTGAAAAGTGTAACTGTGAGGTGGAAACGGGGAGCAGTTAAGTGGACTAGGGTGAGGGTTTGTGATTCTGTGTTTCCTAAATGGAAAATACCTGAGCGTGTCTAAAGTTTCGTGGGAAGGATCTGTCAGGAGGGAGAGTTGAAGATATGGAAGAGGGAGGGGGGCACTGCTGACATGAGGTCCCAGGGGAAGGAGGAGGAAATGGGACTGGACCCCGAGCACAGTGAGAAGACACGAGGTTATAGCGTGCTCTCAGGAAGGTAAATGGACGGCATCATACGCAGAAGGAGCAGCATGAACCAGTGAAGGAGCTGGACCAGTAGTTCAAGTCTAGTCTGTGCAGGGCCTTGAAAGCCCCAGTCAGAAGTTCAGGCCCAGTCCCATAGGCCTGGAGAAGCCCACCCTTGGCCTTTCCCATCTTATGGATCATCACTTTGGCCAGCATTCCCAGGACTGGGATTACCAACAGTGTCCAAGGGTACGGGCGTTTCCATGGCTTCTGGGAGATGTACAGGCAGGGCCATTTGCATCCTCCCCACTCAGTGTGTGCTCAGGGTGTCGTGAGTCCAGTCACTTCCTCAGCCGCCCCAGGCTGCTGCTGTCAGGCTTGGTTCAACTCCCCAAGTGACCACTTTCCTGCTCGGAGCTATAGGTGGTGGTGAGTGAGGCCTCCTTTCGTTCCAGAGCCCAGATGCCGATCCAGCCTCCAAACAAAGACACAGAAGAGATGGAAGCAGAGGGTGATTCAGCCACCGAGATGAATGGGGAGGAAGAAGAGAGTGAGGAGGAACGGAGCGGCAGCCAGACGGAGTCAGAGGAGGAGAGCTCAGGTGAGCCGCGCACGCACGTGCACCCCAGTGCCCTCCCAGGCCTCGGCCGGCCCTGACTGGCCTCTTGTCCCAGAGATGGACGATGAGGACTACGAGCGGCGCCGCAGCGAGTGCGTCAATGAGATGCTGGACCTGGAGAAGCAGTTCTCGGAGCTAAAGGAGAAGTGAGCGTCGGGCACCCGGGGCTGGGTCTGCGGGCACCGGCAGTGAGGAGGCCGTGGGCCTGGGGCTGGGCAGGGGCGGCTGAGGCCGAGTGGGCGTGTCGTGGACCAGGCGCCCACGTGTGTGTTTGACGGATGAGCACATTTCGCCTCCCAGGTTGTTCAGGGAACGACTGAGTCAGCTGCGGGTGCGGCTGGAAGAAGTGGGGGCTGAGAGGGCACCCGAATACACAGAGCCCCTGGGGGGGCTGCAGCGGAGCCTCAAGATTCGCATTCAGGTGGCAGGTCTGTGGGCCCCAGTCCCCCCTCCCTGTTCCCCTACCAACCCATGGCTCTCTGTCCCCCTCTCTCATCCCTGCCTTGCCCATGCCCCTGCCCCCCTTTCTGGACACTGGGGTCCCTGGCCAAGCTGGACCTCCCATTCCCCTCCCTCCCTCTCAGGGATCTACAAGGGCTTCTGTCTGGACGTGATCAGGAATAAGTACGAATGTGAGCTGCAGGGAGCCAAACAGCACCTGGAGGTGACTGTGGCGGGCGCCTGGGGGAGGAGGGCTGCAGTGGCCTGCCCAGGCCTCCTAGCTGAGCTGCTCCCACTTCTTCCAGAGTGAGAAGCTGCTGCTCTATGACACCCTGCAGGGGGAGCTGCAGGAGCGGATCCAGAGGCTGGAGGAGGACCGCCAGAGCCTGGACATTAGCTCAGGTGAGGCATGGGCCGGCCGAGCACCCCGGCCCTGGGTCTGGCTCTGTCACCTCCCAGCCCCTGCCTGGACCTTAGCTTCCCTGCCTGCACAGGGGGCTAGCGAGAGGGATGGCTGTGGAGACAGAATGAAATCAGGCATGGCAAGAAGGGACTAGCCGGGGCCTGGCACAGTGGGGGCTCAGGAAGCGTGGGTGTCCCTGCCCTCCTGTGCACCTGCTCTCTTTCCAGAAGAGATGTCATTCTGACACTCCCGCACATACAGTAGCCACAGTCCCCTCCATGTTCATAGTGCCTGCCATCACATGGGGCCTCGGGAGGCAGGAATTGTCACCATCCCACCATCCCCTAAACAAATGAAGAAATCGGCTCACAGAGGTGTAGTGACCTCTTTCCCGGGTGGCACAGCTGCACAGTTGGGACCTAAACTCAGCTGCCAGCCCCAAACCCAAGGTTCTCCCTGCTGTCTGGGGAGGTAGTCGACGGGAAAGGGCTGGCCTGGCTCCTGTGAAGCCACAGGCTACAAGGGCGGGGTGTCCTGGGAGTGCCGGCACCTCAATCCTGGCTCTGGGGGCACAGAGTGGTGGGATGACAAACTGCACGCCAGAGGCAGCTCAAAGACCTGGGACTCCCTGCCGCCGAGCAAGAGGAAGAAGGCCCCCCTCGTTTCTGGTATCCTTCCACCCTCAGGGCCTGAGCCGGGCAGGACGGCGAGGTCGGCTCCAGACCTGGGGAAGGAGGTGGAGGGGCGTGGAAGACGGAGTCACATAGACACATTTATGGTCATTTGGCCTCATATGGCTATGACTGGGCAAATCTAGCTGTCAGATTTTTTTTTCGACAGCTGTGCGACCATGGAAAAATAGAAACATCCATTCAGTGGGTCCCTGTAACTTCCTGAGTGAAGTCTCCTCCGAGGCCCTCTGACTTTCCCACAGTGTCCGGGGCATGTCCCAGACCTTCCCACCCCTGTGCCTTTGCTCGCTTTCCACCCTCCTCTCGGAGCGCCTTCTGCCTGTCTGGGCCTGCTTGGTGCTCGTCTCGGGCACTGCCTCCCCTGTGAAGCCTCTCCTGGTCTTTCCCGCCGTGGCTGTGGCTTCTCTCAACTCTGCAGCCCTGTGGTCTGAACTAGGGTACTGCATCCCACTTGGGAGTGGCTGCCTCTGCCTCCACCTTAGGCATGAGCCTCTTCAGCTCATCCCTCTGGCCTAGCCCAGCACAGAACTGAACTGAATTCTCACTCTGCAACCCCCCATGTTCCTGCAGTAACCAGAACTCATGGCATTGGCATCCTGGTGATGGAAATCAGGTTCAGGGAGGGAGGGAGGAATCCGGACCACGTGGACTTGAGGGGTGAATGGGAGGGGAGGGCATGGGAGGGGAGGGCATGTACATCATGTACAGGCCACAGGATGGCAGAGGGGTTGGTCCCCAGAGGGGCACGTGAGACCAAAAGGTTTTCAGGATGGAAGAGATGAGTCTGTGTGGATTGGGGAAGGAGCCAGAAGAGAGACAAGAGGACAGAGAATTAGAAGGAGCAGAGTCCCTGAGTGGTTGGGGTGGGCCTTGGCCCACTGACCTTGAGACTGAGACATCAGGTACAGGGCACAGGATGGCAGAGGGGTTGGTCCCCAGAGGGGCACGTGAGACCAAAAGGTTTTCAGGATGGAAGAGATGAGTCTGTGTGGATTGGGGAAGGAGCCAGAAGAGAGACAAGAGGACAGAGAATTAGAAGGAGCAGAGTCCCTGAGTGGGTGGGGTGGGCCTTGGCCCACTGACCTTGAGACTGGAGAGAGGAGTCAACGCAGGGGTGAGGCTCGGCGCCCCCTGCCCCTGTCAGGGAAACAGGCCATAGCCACACATACCTCCCAGAGAACCTGGGGACCAAGAGGTGGGAGATGGAGCCCGAGCTCGAACCCACGTCTTCAGTTCCCTTCCCCCCGTCCATGGCACCACCTCCCAAGAGTGTTAGAGCTCCCGGGCCGTCACCTGCCCCCTCCACTGGGCTTCCTGCTTCCTTGACGCATGTTGCAGGCCCTTACATCGTATACATGCTGCAGGAGATCGACATCCTAGAGGACTGGACCGCTATCAAAAAGGTGGGTCTGGTGCTGCCTGCTGTCCCCACAGTCTCAGGGTAGGGGCTGGCAGTGCAGGTCCCGCCCCAGGCAGCAGCTTCGGTCTCTGCAGGCTGCACGTGGGAGCTTTCTGAGGACCTGGCAGCGCTCTGCCGTGCCCCTGCCTTCAGCCCAGGCTCCCTGGCATCGCTGCCCGCGCACAGCCTCCTTTTGCCCACGGCTGCCCTGGAGGAGGGAACTTCTAGTCTTTCTGCTCCTTTCTTGCTCTAGGGCAGGCGTCGAGAGGCTGGGAGAAAGGGAGGGGAAGTGACTGGGCTGGCCGGGCCTCCGACAGGAGGCCACATCTGGGCTTCGTCTAGAAAGTGTCTCATGCTGCCCACCCCTCTTGGCACAGCACTAGCCCAGCGGCCCTCGCCCCAGGGAGGCTGACATGGAAGGGGGCTTGCCAAGTGGGAGGCGGGCTCTCAGGGGGCTTTTTCTTCTCTCCTACCCAGGCTAGGGCAGCTGTGTCCCCACAGAAGAGAAAATCTGATGGTAAGAACCACGGGTTCTTCCACCTCCCATCACCCCCCCAGCCCGGCCTGCAGGAAAGGAGCCCGGAGAGAGGTGGCAGCCATGTCGGATCAGCGGCCCGAGAGAGACTGGGTGGGGAGAGCCCTGTGGGAGTTTGGGGAGCAGGAGCCAGAGTCGGGGTAGGGAAGCTCTAAGTTGATGGTTGATGGGTCTAGGGACAACTACCTGCCAGGATTGGTAAGGGAGGGCTGGAATACTAAGCCCCAGCAGCTGGGGGGCCCTAGTGGACCCAGAATGCTGGTGGATTCACTGATGAGGGCTACGGAGCTGTCCTGGGCCAGACCAAGTCCACTCCTCAGTCCCCCGTGTGAAGTGGCTGCCCACTTCTTGTTTGGGCTCCCTCTCACCTGCAGTGACTTTCCCTTTCCCACATACCCCCAGGACCGTGACCCTGCCCCTCGGAGCAACTGGCACCAAGCCCAGGATTTGCATTTTCCTGCTGCAAAAAGGCAGACTGACAAGCCCCTCAGGGTCTGCCCAGCCGGCTCTCCCGTGCTGCTGCTGGGCGCCGCCCTCCAGCCATCACTGGCCTGGACGCCTCCTCTGCTCCTCCTTGGGGCCTGTACAGCTGTGGCCCGGAGCTGCCCTCGCCAGGCCAGAGTCCATCCCAAACTAGCCCCCTACCTTCCCCTCCCCAAGGTCAACCTCCTCAGTCCCCTCCCTGACAAGACACCGCTTGTCTTAAGCCAGAGCACATCCTTCCCGTCGACCTTCCCAGTCACTGAGCCAGTGAGTTGGGCCCTGCTTCATGGGAATTCTGAGCCAGAAAGTATATTTTGGAGGCCTGGCTGGCTGGCCGGCTGTTGCCAGCGGTGAGAAGCCAGGCTTCCCAGATCTTCTCAAGGCCGTCCTTGGTGCCTGACTCCCAGATTTTGGGGACTGGAATTAAAACCTTTCTTGGGACCCTGGCGTGACCGCATGTGTCTGATTTACCTTGCAAGGGAATCGGGGCTCCTGTGGGGAGTGTCTGAGACAAGCAGTCTTTTCTGGGGTCCCTGGTACCTCTTATTACCCAGCAGGAGCTTACCCACCCTGACTTGCGGTATAGGCTGGAGAAGCGGGGGCCTCTTCTACCATCACCACCCCTAGAGGTGGGGGGCTGGGCCCTGGACTACCTGCTACTGGCGAACAAAGTCAGAAGCAACATGTGGCACAGGCAAAACACGTGGCCTCAGATGGGGAAGGGGGCTGGGTGCTCAGTGCTTGGAGACTGGGTCATGTCTGCACCTGCCCCAGTTGCTTGGCAGATTGGCAAGGCAGGCTGACAGGGCCTGTGTGCGTGGGAGGCAGCCAGCAGCAGTGCCATGTGCTGACACCTCACAGCCAGACTCCCCCCCTGTTTAGTGCTGAGTGTTAGAACCACCCCCAGAACCTCAGTTAAGCAAAGGGGTTAGTTTCCATGGAGACACAACATCCTTTCTCCATGGCAACCTGAAATCCCAAAATCCAAGTTAAGCTCGGGAATGAGTCATCTGCAACCAGTAGGGGGCACTCTCTCAAGGCTGACCCCAAGGCCTGGACAGGTGAGCAACTGATTCTAGACTCAAAGGTGCCCTGAGGGTGAGGCTTGGACCTGTGGGAGGAGGCGGGCCCTGTTTAACCCTTTCCCTCCCACCTGTGTGGTTCGGGGCCGCTGGCAAGGCTGCGGGAAGCTCCCTGTGGAGGTGGCAGCCCCACAGCTGGGGTCCTTGGGGTGCCACTTGCATGAGGAGGATCCCTGCCCCCACCCCAAGGCTGGGCCTAGAACAGAGGAAGCGGGTACTGCCCAGGCTGAGTGGACACACAAGAGTTAACTGGCGGGGTGTGACAGGGCGCACCGCCCTCAGGAAGTGTTACTCACCGCCGGGAATGTGAGTGCTCTTGCCTTGGGGGCTGGATCGTCTTCCCGAGTCCTGGGAGAAACCAAAGGAGCTCCCCGCCATGGAAACCCCTGGGGAGCCAGGAGCGGGCCCTCTCGGAGCCTCCACTCCATCCAACTTCGCACCTGGGCACCTGCAGAGAGAAAAGTTGGTGAAGTTGGAAGGGCAGCCCCACGGGGCGGGGAGGGACGGCCGAGCAGGGTCTGTCCTAGGGCAGAGGAGGGAGTAGGGGTTGGGCAAGGGTCCCAGCCCCTGGCTCCCTGCTCAGGTCTGGTGCCTGTCCCCAGGCCAGCTCAGGACCCGCTGTACGACGTGCCCGATGCCGGCGGGGGGCAGACAGGTGGGCCCCAGCAGCCGGGGCGCGCCGTGAGCCTGCGGGAGCGCCTGCTGCTCACGCGGCCTGTGTGGCTGCAGCTGCGGGCCAACGCCGCGGCTGCACTGCACGTGCTGAGGACCGAGCCCCCGGGGGTGAGTCTTGGCCCGAGCCCCTGGGACTGGCCCTCAGTGGGTGAGAGGGAGAGGGGCTGGACCTGGGCCTCCCACCCTGTCCGTTCGCAGACATTCCTGGTGCGGAAATCTAACACTCGCCAGTGCCAAGCTCTGTGCGTGCGGCTCCCCCAGGCCAGCGGCCCCTCCTTCGTCTCCAGCCACTACATCCAGGAAAGCCCTGGGGGTGAGAGAGCCTGGCCTGGAGGGAAGGGGCTGGAAGCCGTCAGGTCGGGGCCCAGAGAGATTCCCCAGAGAACGAGCTCACTTCCCCTCTCTCAGGCGTCTCCTTGGAGGGATCTGAGCTCGTCTTCCCGGACCTGGTCCAGCTCATCTGCGCCTACTGCCACACCCGGTGAGCCTGCCCAGAGGCGCCTGCTGTCTGGTGGGACACCCTGCCCCACCCCCATCCCTGCAGCCACTCTCAGCCCCGAAGCCGCGAGCATCCCTCACCCCTAACTTTCTGGCCCTCTCTCTGGCCTCAGGGACATCCTCCTCCTCCAGCTTCAGCTCCCCAGAGCCATCCGCCAGGCAGCCACCCATAAGGAGCTAGAAGCCATCTCCCATCTGGGCATCGGTAAGGGCTCCCCTGCCACCCACGGCACAAAAGGACAAGCTGAGGCCAAGGGGGAAAGGGCAGGCCCTTGTGCACACAGTCAGCCTGCGCCTTGCCCTTGGTTGGCCATCCTCCCTGAATCCCCCTGAGGCCCCAGTTGGTTTCTCTTCTCTAGAGTTCTGGAGCTCCTCCCTCAACACCAAGGCTCTGCCCGGCCCGTCTGAAGGCCCGCTGCTGCCCCGGCTGAAGCCCCGGTCCCCACAAGAACTGGACCAGGGCACCGGAGCCGCCCTGTGCTTCTTCAACCCCCTGTTCCCAGGGGATCTGGGCCCCACCAAGCGGGAGAAATTCAAGAGGAGTTTCAAAGTGCGCGTGTCCACAGAGACCTCCAGCCCCCTGTCTCCACCCGCCGGGCCTCCTCCCCCTGTGCCCGTGCTGCCAGGGGCAACCCCCAACCAGACAGAAAGGTCGGCCCCACGCCAGCTGCTGCGGAGGGAGAGCTCAGTGGGGTACCGTGTGCCAGGGGGCTCCAGTCCCAGCCTCCCGCCCCTGCCCTCCCTCCAGGAGGTGGACTGCGGCTCCCCCAGCAGCTCGGAGGAGGAGGGGACGCAGGGGCCCCAGGGGAGTCCCGCGACCTCACCCCGCCTGGGCCACAAGCGGCCTTTGCTTCGGTCCATGAGCGCTGCCTTCTGCTCCCTGCTGGCACCCGAGCGACAGGTGGGCCGGGCAGCCGCAGCGCTGATGCAGGACCGCCACTCGGCAGTGGGCCAGCTCGTGCAGGATCTCCTGACCCAGGTGCGAGCCGGCCCCGAACCCCAGGAGCTGCAGGGTGTCCGTGAGGCACTGAACCGGGCCCGGGCCATGCTGAGTGCAGAGCTGGGCCCTGAGAAGCTGCTGCCGCCTGACAGACTGGGTGAGACTCCAGCACAGGCCTCTGCTGGTTCAGCCCTGTCTCCTAGTCCCGGCTCGTACCCCCTCCTCCCTCCTCCTCTCTCTGGTCCTGTCCACAGTGCCAGACAGTCTCTCTGGTCACACCACCCTTCAAGTGAACCCCATCCCCCACCCAACCCCCGCCTCTTGCCTCACCAAGTTTCCTCCTCCTTTTCATCCCTCTCCTTCCCTGACTGTGCCCCTTCTCCTTGGGACTCTGCCCCGACTCCTCCTTGGTTCCCCTGACCTGCCTGCTTCTGCTCTGCAGAACGTGTCCTGGAGAAGTCGCTGCATCACTCGGTGCTCAAGCCCCTCCGGCCCATCCTGGTGGCCCGCCTGCGACGCCGGCTTTCTGCTGATGGCTCCCTGGGACGCCTGGCCGAAGGCCTCCGCCTGGCCCGAGCCCAAGGTCCTGGAGCCTTCGGATCCCACCTGATCCTGCCCTCCCCGGTAGAGATGGAGCAGGTGCGCCAGAAGTTGCTGCAGCTGCTCCACAGCTACTCACCCAGCGCCCAGGTCAAGCGACTGCTGCAGGCCTGCAAGCTGCTCTACACAGCTCTGAGGAGCCACTTGGGTACGCCCCGTCCCGCCACCCGCCAGTGGCTCCCCGCCAGCAGAGGCAGGCCTCCTGGGCAGAGATTCCAGGAAAGGCCCAGCAGGGGAAGAGATGGATCCCACCCTCCCATCTCACAGATGGTGAAACTGAGGCCCAGATTGTAGAGCCTCCTCTCCCCAGCCCCTGCTCGTGGTTGTAATAGGGACCACCTTACCCAAGGCCTGGCAGGTGGAGGGAGGGTCACTGTCTAAGACAAGGAGTGGACTCTGACCTGGGGCTCCAGAGGAGCCTGAAACTTCCTTTTCTACCCCCCGCAGGGGAGGGTGCGGGCGCCGACGAGTTCCTCCCGCTGCTGAGCCTGGTCCTGGCCCAGTGCGACCTTCCTGAGCTGCTGCTGGAGGCCGAGTACATGTCAGAGCTGCTGGAGCCCACCCTGCTCACTGGAGAGGGTGAGTGACCCCACATACATGCCACCTCCCTGCCTGGATGGGGCCCGCATGGCCCCGAGTAAGCAGGGGAGGGGAGAGGGAGCAGGTCACCCACCCCCAGCCTGAGCTGCATCCTTCCCCTTGTGTCCCAGGTGGCTACTACCTCACCAGCCTCTCTGCCAGCCTGGCCCTGCTAAGCGGCCTGGGCCAGGCCCGCACCCTGCCCCTGAGCCCGTCCCAGGAGCTACAGCGCTCCCTCAGCCTCTGGGAGCAGCGTCGCCTGCCCGCCACCCACAGCTTCCAGGTAACGGGGCCTCCGCGCCATCCCCCAAATCGAGATCCAGCAGGGGAAAGGCCGGTCCTGCAATAGGAACAGTGCCCCGGGCAGAACAAACAGCAAAGCCAGCCCTTCTACAGCGAGTGCGTTCCACATGCCGGCCACGTGCTCAGTGCTCTAGAGCTTTAGCCCTGAAGAGGGCCATCGTCACCCCCATTTTACAGATGAGGAAACTGAGACATGGCATCGAGAGGGAAAGGGACACAGGAGGCAGTCTCAAGCCTTAAATCCTGGCTTCCAGCCCCCCGCTGGGGGTCTGCCCTCCCCTGGACTCAGGGGCTTCCAGCCCATGCTCCCCTCACCCTCCCAGACACCATCTTCTCTCCATCGAGTCAGGGGAGCCTCCTAGCCTCGATCGAGAGCCCAGACTTTGTAGTCAGACCCCGGGTTTAAATCCTGGCTCTGCTACTTTGTGGTCGTAGGAGCCTGGGTACGTGAGGTAACCTCTTCGTGCCTCAATTTTCTTATCGATAAAATGGGATGATAGTACCTCCCTCGGGGGCTGATGAGAGGATTAATGGAGGACCAGCGTTTAGGGCACGGAGTTAGCTCTAAGCAGGCTTGTCAGGCCACAGAGCCCTGCGAGGCCATCCTTGCAGCCTGCGGTGTGACCCCCCAGCCCAGGCACATCTCTCCCTTCCTCAAGGACCCCTTGGAGCTCGCCCTGTCCAAAAAGCTTTTCCCAGTTGGTCCTACCACTGGATTTATACCACCCGCCCTTGTCTTAGCAGAGCCCAAATGGGGACCTACAGCTTTGCAGGCAGATATGTAGCAGGCAGGGTCGAGTCCTTGTTTTTGCTTCTCCTCCTGCACAGCACCTCCTCCGAGTAGCCTATCAGGACCCCAGCAGTGGCTGCACCTCCAAGACCCTGGCCGTGCCCCCAGGGGCCTCAGTTGCCACCCTGAACCAGCTCTGTGCCACCAAGTTCCGAGTGACCCAGCCGGAAGCTTTCGGCCTCTTCCTATACAAGGAGCAGGGCTACCACCGCCTGCCCCCTGGGGCTCTGGCCCACAGGCTTCCCACAACCGGATACCTCGTCTACCGCCGCCAGGCAGAGCGGTCCGAGACACAGGGGGCCTCACTTGAGGCTGCAGCAGAGGACAGCAGCAGGGGGCCAGAGGCAGGGGGCAGGGAGGAGGAGAAAGGGGGCCAGGGAAATGGGGACACCGAGGTCAAAGCCAGTCCCGGGGACAGCAGAGGAGAGTCGGAGACAACTGCCGAGTGGGACGAGGGCCAGGCCAGGGGGGGCCCTGCTCAGCCAGGGGTGCCAGAGGCTGAGGGAAGCCGGGCAGCCGAGGAGTAGCTGGAAGTGGCCGGAAGGATCATTTGGGGCTGAAAACTCTGAACCTGCTGAGAAGGCCTTTTAGAGCCATTGCCCCACTGACCAAGGCCACAGCCCCCTTAGGCTTCCCTGTCCCTGGCTATTCTTGTGTCTGCTACCACCGCCGTCTGATGCTTACTACCACCGCCGCCCTCCCACCCCCACCAGCCCCACACTTGCTGGGGGAGTACCTGGACTGGCTGCATCTGGGGCAGTAAAGTTCGGGGTTTGGGAGACCCTAGACCAGGGGCCTAAGGCTCTTTGCCTCTCATCCTCCCCCAGCTGGAGGCCAGTCGGCCTGTAGTGAGTGGTGAGCACATCCAACCTCTGGCAGTGGGGGAGGGGCACAGCCCCTGGGAGGGCCACTGCCCAGACAGCCCCCTCCAGGCTGGGGGCTTCAAGGCCCTGAAAGGCTCCACCCACTCCTGGGTGTCTGGAGCATTCAGGGCAGCAGCACCTCAGCACCCAGTACTGCTCCAGACCGCCTGGAGGACTAGCACCTCCAAACCTCAGTTTCCTCATCTGTAAGTGGGGTGCACTGCCACGCTGTCTTCTCCCAGAAGTTTTCCAGGGGCCAAAATGGATGGTTTTGCTGCAACGCAGGGTTCAGACTAGTGGAAAGGGGAGGGGAGAAGGGGGTGTTAGCATTGCCCCCCACCCTCCAAGGGTTGTTCTCTGCACTTGCCGAAGGGAGTGTCCTCCAGTCAGCCCAGGGGACATCCTGAAGATCAAGCCCAGCCAGAGGAGCACCCGAGTTCCAGTCTTTCCCCAAGATGAGAAGTCCTCCCAGGGGAACTGGACAGGGAGACAGGCTTCCAAAACAGAAACCATTTCTTCTGCTCTTAGCTCTTCCGGACCTCCTGAGTGTTTTACGTGGAGGCCACGCTTATTACCCACTGAGGTTCAAGAAAGTGACTCCTACGATATCACACAGCATGCCATTATGGGTTGCCCCACCCTAACCAGGCCATCAAGTTCCAGCTAGGTGCTCTCATCTAAGCCACCAACAAACTAATCCTCAGGGCCCAGCAGAGCAGACCGCAAATCCGAGCAAAGAAAGTGTCAGCAATGACCACTAGGGGGCGTGCGTGGTCCAGGAAGCCGTGGAGTGGGTGACGCCGATGGGCGAGGGAATCCAGGGCCTCAGCAGCATAGGTGGTCGTGGGCTTTGCAGTCTTGCAGCCACCCGGCAACCTCAGGACACAGCAGGGGCCCAGGCTGCCGGTCCTGAGCTCCCTTGGAGTCAGGGGTCTGGGCAGCGGCAGCCTGGCAGGGATTATTCTGGGAAAGAACTGTCCGCGGTGGAAGGAGGACCTCAGCTAGTCTCTGACGAGGTCCCTCAGGCGCTGCACACTAAGGGACATCAGCCCGCATGTCAGACAGGCTTCACAGATGCAAGGTGGAAGTCCTGGATGTTGGCATTTCAGACAAACCAAAAGCCCTGTGCAGGGCTTCCAAATTTCTCCCTAGGCCACCGGCGGCGCTTCCCTCCCTATTCCCCCCGCCCCAGCTTCTCGCTGGCACAAAGTCTCCCCTTCGCTCTTTTGTATGCCCTCCCTCCCTATCCCACGGCCTTGCTCGGTGCTGGGCACTCTGCAGGCACTCAATAAATGCTGTCCACTGACTGGAGTTTGATAACTAAGAGTGAAGGGCAGTGAGGTGGGAAGCTGGGAGGTTAGGGGAGGGCCGGGTTCTGGGAACCAAATACAGGATGTTTTAAGTTCTTTCTCAGAGGAAGGACCTGGAATGGTTGCAGGGGGTGCTCCGACAACCCCAGGGCCGGATGTGGAACAGGTCTCAGGGAAAGAAGGATTGGCGGAGGCTTCTGGGCTGGGGGCCTCTGCAGGCCCCTCTCACCCCCTCCCCATGCTGAGTCCTAATTCCTGGCTCTGGGAATTTAATGTCCGTAGCAGTGGCTCAGCAGAGCACCGCCGAGCCCTGCCTGCTGCCTGAGTCTTTTGGTTTATCTTCTCGAGAGATTCTGATTGGTCAGGGGTCCAGGCCAGGTAAGTTGGCATGACCAAGGGTCATGATACAGGAATTGGGGCTCCAGGCAGGACAGGCAATGATAGACCAGTCTAAGGCTGGTCTTATTATCCCCATTTTACAGGAGAGGAAACTGAGTCTTGCTCAGGGAAAGTGGCTCGTTACACAGGGCGAAGGGCTCGGATCCCAGGTTCTGTGGAGCTTCTGGTCTGCAGTCCTCCAAAACAAAAGGACTAGTTCTTCATCCACTCAGTAATAATCTATCAATTGTTCTTCTGGACCAAGCACCAAGCAAACACAGCCCTGGCCACAGGGAAATAGATGTGGTCTGGGCAGTAGCTGAGAGCCTACTGTGCTGGGACTCTGTGCTGTTCCCTCCCCCATCTCAGCCTCTCACCTTTGGCCTCTGGAAGAGGAAGTCAAGGCTCTGCGAGGCGCCAGGCTTGTCCAGCATCCCCTGCTGCAGGACAGCGCTGGAACCCGGACAGTCGGATCCGTTGAGGAGCACCAAGTCATTTCCTCGCTTGGAAATGCCGCACTTATCACCTCCAGAATCACCATAGTTCCCTATGTGAGTTTGTTTATTGTCTGTCTTCACCACGAGACGGCCAGAGCCAAGTTGGCCTTGTTCCCCGCTAAATCTCGGGGGCCTAGAACAATGCCTGGCCCGGAATTGGCACTTAGTAAAATACATGTGGAATGATTGATTCGGGAAGACTCACCCTGAACAGTTCCTCGGAGTTCCTGAGGCGCAGGCGGTGCATTCTCCATCGCTGCCGCCAGGGGGCGAGCATGTCCGTTCCCAGTCACACCCCAGGTTGCCTCCCACCTGAGGCCACTCAGAGACCCAGGGCACTCAGAAGACCAGAGACAGGCCTGGTGCCAGGAAGGAAGAAGCCCTGCAGGGAGGCCCAGGAATCGTCCTGCCAACAGGGATCCTGAGGACAGAGGTCAGGAAAGGACTGAAGAAGAGGTCACCTACTGCCCAGGGCTTTGCCGGCCAGGCAGGCCCCAGAGTCAGGGCCTGTGGCCGGCCTGAGAGGGGACCCTGTGGTGGGTGGGCAGAAAGGCAGTCATTGAGACCGGCAACTACACCCTGACCCACCTTCAACACAGAGCCGTTAACACCCTGCCACGGCTTTGTGGCTGCTGTTCACACGCAGACACACCCCGACTCATTTGCAGAGTGTGTGACATTCGCCTGCCACAGTCATGAACAGCAACACCTGGGCACCCCCAGCCTTAACAGGAACACGGAATGTTAGGAACAATTTGACACTGTTAACCATTCCTGCCCTGCAGCACGGGACACAGTGACACACACAGACCCCTCCTCCGATCCACACCCTGACAGACATCCTGAGAGCTGCAAACTCAGAGATAATCCCGCAACACCCTCCCTCTCAGGTTCAGAATGTGACTCCCCGACATACACGCACAAGGGGACAGGCCGACAGAGGCTACACAGGTCACCTACCCGAGCAGGGCTGCTGCTGACACTCCCGAGTCCCCCACTCAGACAAGGCACACAGGCTTCTTCCTTCCAACTCTGCACAGGAAATGCAGACACACACATACACACACACTCAGAGACACACTCAGAGATACACACAGACACGGACACACACACAGAAAACAACACACATATACTTTGTGTACTTTTGATCATGCACAAGACATCCAAGCCCTTCTGTCTAATCTCACTCCCAGCCCTGGCCTATCTCTGCCACCACTCAGCCCCCCTGCCCCATGGTGGACCCTAGTGGGGGTTATGAGCTGCTGAAAAGACCCCAATAGGGGGGTGTGGTGACCCCACTGGCCAGGCAGGAGGCAGAAGCCGGCAGCGCTGGGTGGGGAGGCCTGAGCTCATCAGATTCCAGCCTGAGTGATTCACGGGAAGCGCCTGGGGACGATCTGGGGGTGGGGATGGGGGCACTGGCCCAGGGACTGGGGCTTTGGGGGTCTGGGTGGGCTTCAGACCAGACGGTCTTGGGTCCAGAGCAAGTCTCTAGTCTGGGAGGGGGGGCATCTTGGGGGGTGGCTCAGCCTGAAGGGGTGTCTGCTGGGCCTGGCTCCTGGGAGGGGCTTAGGACACAGAACAGAGCCCCAGGATGAGACAATCGGCCCCTCCCACCCAGAGCCTGGGCCCCTGACCCCACTTCTTCCTAGTCACAGCAGCTGGGTGTCTTTAGCAGAGGTTAGGCCAAGGGTGGGGGTAGGGGTTAGGCCAAGGGCGGGGGCAGGGGTGGGGTGACCTTCATGGTCATCTTGGCCCCTCAGGCCCTCAGGCAGGCAGCCCGAGTAGAACCCAGAGGCCCTGAGGTTCTGGACCTCCTCCCCTGTCAGGCTGACAGATCCTAGACCCCCTCTGCCCTGCCAGGCGAGGCTCCCGCCAGAAAGCCGAGAATTCAGGGCTGTCCCAGCATCAGGAATGTTTTCCCACAGAGACAGAGCCCTCTGTTCCTGCCACCAGGCTGATGCTCAGAGGACCTAGCTTCTCCTGCAGGGTGACAGGAAGAAAGGATGGGGCTGGGGGCAGAACAGGGGCACAGGAAGTGCCTTTCTTGGAACTCAGCACCAAAATAGCCTGTTCGAGCTCTACTCTAGGTCTCAGTGTCCCTAGGAGGAGGTATGTGTCACCAAGGAGACCTTCCCCAGGGAGGGGCTTGAGCTGACCTTAGTCTGGCTTTTGCCCGTCACCCTCCCACCCCCACCAGCCCCCACCAGCCCTGCCTCAGGCTCTGCTGCACTTTGAAGTCCTAACGTAAATATCATGTCTGCTCCGGTTCCCCTTCCCGGCCAGTCACAGCCCCCAGACCTGGCTCCCACCCCAGCCACCCTGGGGGTGCATGCCGGAGGAGAGGAGGGAGGCCTGGACCACCCAGGGAAGGTATGGAGCCAGAGACCCTGGAGCAGGATCAAGGAGACAGAGTGGGAAAGAA